AAGGTGACAAGGGAACATTTCCTCCCCTTCAGAAAGGGTCTCATCTGGCTCTGATTCCTAGATAAAATTCCTTCATCTGGAAGTGATTGTGAATGAGAATTTTGCATTTATTTATTTATTTTTAACTGCAATTTTAGCTGTGGCCAGAGAGGAGTGCTGTTTGTTATTTATACCCAAGGAAGTGAGACGCTAGCAGACTGCACATGGGCTTGCAGGGTCCCATAAGGGAATATTCTGTATTTTGTTTCTTGTGACTTGCTGTTCTTGCCAGTACTTTCAACTTTTCTGCCTTTCCTGGCCAGAAAGCATTTTGATGACCAATCAATTTATGAAACGTCTTCCTAAAACCTCTGTCTGCAGAACTCTACAGGCTGCTCCCAGCTCAGAGATGCCAGCGGTGGCGCTGAGGGAGCGTGAACTGGTAAAACTTGAAGCGTTGGTGAGCAAATAAACACGAGGGTGCCCTGCTGCTTTCAAAAACTTAATGTATAGATAACATTAAGCTAGTTGTGGTTCCCTTCAGAACATACTTAGTGCGGGTCCCTGGCAGAAGAGCTATTCATCATTTCAGTTTGGAAGAAAAAAGTCTGCCGGTTGCTAAAACCAGTGCACTTTTAAGGCTGTATTTAATATCCTTTTGTATGCTACCTCCCATAGGATGCTTGGTAAACAAGGAGGTAGCATGTTTTTCCTTGCTTCAAATTTCCACAAAAAGACAGTAATGGGTATTAGTGGTTTGGTTTTTAATATAATTTGCTATAACAGTAAAGATGTCACCATCAAGTTTCAGGTGTTTGGTTGCTGCAGGGGTACATTGCAGTGATGCTGGGAATGTTCAAAATACTCATTTATCAACTTCTAGTTTAAAGCTAATTAATCACCTTGCAAAGCATCTGTAGTTCTCTTCCATCTTTAATATCCTTGGCTAAAACTATTTTTCTGAGTAATAGAGAAACTTTAAAATTTGGACCCTCTGTCCCTTTTGGGTCATTTTAAAGGTGTAACAAATGACTTGGTGGCATGCAGCAATTCTATTAGCACTCTGTCTTAACTTTTATTACCACCTGCCTGCCGAAGCCGTCTGGGAGAAAGGATATAAGACATATAAAAGTGACAATTGCTTATAGGAAACCAAATAGTCCTGCTTGTTTTAAGTTCAGGCATTTCCCTTGGCTTTATACCACAGAAAGTTTTCTAAATCTTCTTATATGAATAAAATAGAGATAGTATTTAAGTCTGTCTTAAAATCATGCTGGATCAATGTGCCGCACAGTTATCTATTTACATATCCAATTATACAATCCTTGGCTAAAGGTATCTGGTGTTTATTTCCTGGAGATAAGTGATATATATCTGAAGTTAGAATTAGAGGATTAAAGTTTTCTGGAGTGTGTGAAAGCTGTGTGATTTCGCAGGCCTTGCCAGCCCTCTGTGAGTGCTGTTGGAACATAAAAACTTGCTGTTTTCTCCTCTTTCTCTCCTCATTAATCCCTCCTTTTTGTACCATTAAGAGAGGTGTCGCCACTAAACTTAACAATTTGTCTTCCAAAAAGAGCCTCTGGTGTCCTTCAGCTGAGCAATATGTGCATAAAGATACTTAATTGCTGCAGTGTACCTAGAGTAAGTAGAGCCCTTGTAGGTATTTATTGTTCATAAATACTTTGCAGGAAAGCAGGCTAGAGAGTAACAGCAGAAATTGAGGAGTTGTTCCTTGCTGAACTCTTCATTATCTGTTCCTAGTAACTGTTCGGCGGTGAACAGTGTTTTCTTTGAATTTAAGCAATATACTCTAAATCCTGCTGCTGGGTAAAGGTGTACAAATGCTACCTGAAATACAAGCTTATTGCAGAGCTTATTACCATGTTCATCTTTAAAAGCAATTTCATTTTCTTTTCTAGAAATAGCTGTTTTTCCACAGCGCGCATCTCTGGAAAGTGCCCTCCATCTGTTACAGACCGGAGCTGCCGGGGGTGTTTTGACCTCGGGAGTCTCACTTTGTGGTGCTGCGGTTCGAATCGGGGCTGACACGTCCCTTTTCACATCGGTGTCATCTCCTGTGAAGCTTCCGTGAGGCCACCTAAGGCCAGCTGTGTTATGGCCTCATAATGTCACCGGGAGGCTTCAAGCGGCCCTTGCTGCAGTCTCGCTCCGCGTGTCTCCGAGCTGAGCTCGCGGTGACCTGGCTGGGATTGGGATGTGCAGCAGCCGAAAGCTCCCCCAGGAGCGAGGCGGAGCGAGAGGCAGAGAATCCGAGCGGATGGTTGAGCACTAACGTTTAATTCTATAGCACCACTTTGGCAACGTGTTTTGGGAATTTGTATGGAGCGTCCTGATGTCTTTGGCCAGATTTATCTGGTGCGTTTCATAGAAATCAAAACAACAATAACAAAAAAACATACTTAAGCTACTTTATTTTCCTTTTTAAATCGTGTTGCGAACAGTTTTGGTAGGAAGCTGTTCCTGAAAAGCTAGAATTACCAAAACTAAATGTAGTTTTAATGCAAAGTAAGTCCAAGTTCGTAACTTGCTGTTCTGTTTTATTTATTTGCTGTGCTCTCCTCTGGCCAGACCTCCCTGCTGGGTTTATTGCAAGCCTAGCACTTGGTGCTTGGAGGAGAGTTTCAGAGATTTCCTCCTTCCCTGTGCCATTTTTCTGCCTTTCCTCTGCCCACGGTGCCATTTGTGTCCCTCCCATTTGGGGAGCCTGTGCCATAAAACAGATTGCTGGAATAATGTGGATTAAAAATAGCTGCAAACAAAATATACCCGAGTCTGGGTGGAGAAGAGCAGTGTGTGTGTGATCCCCAAGGGGAAGGAAAAAGCTGGGATCTTCTCTCCTCCTGCATGGGGACCAAAACCAGCAAGAAGTCCTAGTTTTCACAAACGTGAGGAGGAGGTGTTTCTTGCTGGAATTCCAGGTTGGATCCATCCTCTAAAGGCACGGGACTGGAGACGATGAAATGCCCGTGTCCTCCAAGGCACGGCCGCAGGTTGTGCATAGGCGGCTTAGCTAAGTATCCAAAACGCGTGTCTGCTCATTTTGGCTTAATTTGAATGACAGAGGGTGCTTTAACTGAATTCCTTCAGAGAAATTGTTGTAATTTAATAAAACCAAAGGAAGCACCTATCGTAAGGATGTGCTGCTGTCCCTTTCACCCCGTTCCTCGTTCTGCCTGCACCACGCAAACCGGGTTGGTTTTATGATTGCGCCTGTTGTCCTACAGTTCAGGTCTTAAGGCACTGGCTGTATTTCTTTGGCTCTGAGCTTTGTCCTGGGAAATACATTTCCACAGCATTAAGTATGCACCTCCGCAGGGTTAAATCCTTGGACCTCCTGTGTGCTTCAGAACTATTAGGAGGTGCTGCTACTGTGAAAAAAATAACCTTAGCCACTTGTAAGACACTGGCAGAAGCTTAAAAGGTTGCAACTTCTTTGTTACTTAAGCTGATTTTTGAGACTATGATTCTTCATATTCTAGCAGAAGTTTCTTGAAGCTGGTGCAGTTCTGAATGCAACTCCTCCTGGGTACATATGAATCCTCTAAGCTGCAGTGCATTTATCTGTGTACAAATATTGCTCATCATTGCTCCACGTGCCGGTTATTTCAGTTCCTCACTTTATAATTCTCCAAGAAGACTTATCCTGGGCGCAAAGCATTAAGTCATTTTAAAACTGCTTTTTTGTTATGTAGAAGATTGTGAGCTTAGGATCCTGCTATTTGTGAAGTTGAGGCTTTTAATATTTAGATTTTGAAACACGGATAGTTACTAACATTTGCTTAGAGTGAGACCGACTTGGTTTTGGATATCCAAATCAGTGACTGTGACCAAGTTGGTTGGGCAGAAGATTCATCCCCAGAACTGCCCAGTGCCAAAGTTTTGTTCAGCTGCTTGGGGATGTGGTTTATTGGCTTCATAATTTGTCAAGATTTTCCCTTTTCCTCTGCTCTCTGAGCAGAGCTCTGCTTAGCGCTGCTGGCAGTTTGGGAATGGAGCGCGGAGCCTTCGCCTCTGTTCCACGGTTGCCAACAACAGCGGAATTGTTGTGGGTCACTTGTCCTGCACAGGTGAGAGAAAGGCGGGTGAATTGCGGCTGTGAAGCGGTCGGTGGTAGCAGGACCTGTAGAATCCTCCCGGTTATGGTGTGAGGGTTTTGTTACTGCCATGGTGAGGAATTCTGTTTTCTGAACTTATCCATTAAGGGTGTTTTGTAAATCTGCTTTGAGGATCGGGGCTTAGAAGTCAGCAAAGTATTGGTTATTCCCTTTTGTTTCAACGTTTCCCTTTTGGTAACTACAGGTGTTTTTTCTCAGCGGTGCCTGGCTGTTGGTTCAGGTGTGCGGCAGTGGTCTTTGTGCCTGTGTGTTCTCTGCTGATGACAGTTTAATTCAGTGCTTAGACGTTGTGAACTTCACCAGCATGTAAAGGAAATGAGCGTTTCCCTCTGGGCAAAGGGAATTAGATTTGAAGCAGAGAAATGGGTACCAACAGCTTCCTTAATAGCCAGGCTTTAGGAGAGAGACTGAGCTGCTCAAGTGACTGAACCTGCCAGAGCTGGGATCCTGCTTTGCTGTTGGGAATGTGAGTTGTGTGTCACTGCTTGTAGAAGCATCAGGTTATTAGAGATGGCGTTTGAAACTCAGCAAGTTAAAGGGGAGAGGACACAGGGAGGCACTCGGATGGTGGTAGCAATATCCAAGTTAGAAATGGGGTCTCCTACCTGAACCTTCGCCTCCACAAGAAGAATTTTACTCTGGATTTTTTTCCCATTAAAAGTTGACATATTGAAGGAATTGAGTGGATTGGTGTGCCTAACTCTTCAGAAAACATATGGTAACACTTGAAAATGTTTAAATGTAACATTTTGAAGGTTTTGGGGGTGGGGAGGGAGAAAGCATGATTGCTTTTACCAGTGCCCCACAAAACTTAACAGCACTCCTGAAGATCCTTTTTTTGTTGTTTCTTTTTCCTTTTGTTTTTGCCCTTTGGGAAACCGACAGGGTGAAGACCTGTTATAACTTTCTTTCACTGAGTTGTGAAATTCTGTTTAATCTTCAAACTGGCGATGTCAAGGGTTCCGAGTCCTCCTCCTCCGGCAGAAATGTCGAGTGGACCCGTAGCAGAGAGCTGGTGCTACACTCAGGTAAGTCCACGGTGTGCCGAGATGCTCGCCAGGTAGCGGGATTAGAACCTGTGGTACAAAATTTATTCCAAAAAATGTAGAGCGTAGCTTTTCAGAGGATGTGAGACTCATTAACAGTGAATATAGTTAGCAATTCATTGGGTTTAATTACAAATTCTTGCACTAGAGCTGTTAGCGTAGTGGCGGGGTGGGGAGTTACGTGGTTTTCTACAACTCTCCAACGCAACAGTAGAAAATAAGCTTTATACCCCCATTCTTACTGTCTGTCTTTTGTGGAACTTTGGAAACATTTGGAGAAGTTGTCATGGTCCAGCTACCACTGCTGCCCATTTCAGAGCTAGGTTGGCTTGTGCCTGGGGGTCATTTGTCACACAAATGACTTGGTAAAACTTTAAGGATTACTTTAGTTTTTGGCTTTAAGTGGCCCGTTGTGGGTAGCAGTAGCTCTAAAGCTTTCTGGCTTTATCTCCAGATCAAGGTGGTGAAGTTTTCCTACATGTGGACCATAAACAACTTCAGTTTCTGCCGAGAGGAAATGGGGGAGGTCATCAAGAGCTCAACCTTTTCTTCAGGAGCCAATGATAAGCTGAAATGGTAAGATCTCAGCAGAGATGGTCACCCCATTTGTGCAAACTGTATCAAGAACAGATGTGCTGCACAAGAGTTCCCGCTTCCTTTTGCGTGCAACATATACACAGGGAAAGATTATTTTTGGATACGTAAAAGAAATGTGAGGATCTAGCTTTTTGTGCTGTTTTTCTGATAATGGAAAACATCAAAACTAATGGAAGGCATGACTGGAAGAGAGGCCACATCCCGTCTGGAAGCTGAGACATGGCACGGAGAATTAATAATCTGTCTTGAAGTTTGTTTCATAATTGATGTTCATCTAATGAGTTCTTAGCAATCTCCAGTGAGATTCCACAGCTTGTATATGCAAGCTCTGTATCAGCACCCCTTCCCCATTTTGGCCCTTAATACTGCATATTACTAAAATGTTATTTCCTAACTACACTATAAACTTCTCCCTCGCATCTTAAGGCTATTGCTGCTGCATTAGCTTTCTCTTCATGGCACCTTTTTATATATTTAGAGACTTAACGTGGTACCTTGAATTATCTCTGTGTTCTGTAACTCCTGCTCAGGAAGTTCTGCTCATTTTTTGAAGATGACATTCTTTTTACCCTTTTCCTGTCCTTTAAAGCCTTTTTTTTTTTTTTTTTAATCCTCCCTGAGTTCTCAAAGATAATTACCAGTAACTGTGAGAACTTCGGTCAGACTGTGTTCTGCTCTGAATCTTGTCTGACCTACTAGATCTGTGGGCATTTGGTTCATTCAAGTCGTCATGGCTTAAAATGAACTAGATATCATGAACTTCTCTTATTTCTTCCTTTGTTGCTGATGATGTTAAGTGTTTTAGCATTTTTTTGTTTGTTTGCTTACATCTCCTTAGTCGAGACTGAAGCAAATAAGGCACTAAATTTAGCTTAGCTCTGTGTGTGTGTGAAGGAGAGAGAAGCAAAGGTGATTTGTGTCCCTTTGGGTGGCAGACCTGTGCTTACCTTGCACTGCGTTTTGATATTAAATTACTTACCTTTATAACCTTCAGCTAGACAGATCTCATCCTAATGCCTTGATCTCTGATTTTTGTCGCTGTGTGCTTGAGCTGTTAGTCATTTGGCCTAGTTTTTGCTTCTTGTTAGACTCTGTCTCGAGTTTGGGGTCAAGGAAGTGCATATGAGTTAGCCTCTTCCAGCACTTCATAGCTTTCCTTGTGTAGTATCACCTCTCCTTTTTGCTTTATTATCATGTTTTTGAGAAACAACCAGCCTTCCAGGAATGCATTTTGCCTCTGAGTTGCTTCCTGTGGACTTTTGCCTCCCAATTCTCCTCTGTCTGTGGACTTGTGGCTGCCAATTCTCCGAATTTATTGTGCTACTTTAATCCACCACCTTTAGTCTACTATTTCTTTCCTTTTGTGAAAATTGTCATCCAAGATGTTTTTCAGTGTGTTAAGCTGCTTCCCTCGAGTTTTTTTGACCTGTTTTGCTTATAGTTAACATAGCTACGTATCTGCCTGTGAGTTATTGCCAGTCTTGGAGATGTAACATGAGTCTGTAATCACAGCACTAATCTATTTACCTATCTCTTCCTGTGGCTCAGTGACTGTTAAGCAGAACTTATTTGCTTTACACATTATTGTGAAAATTATGCTGTAGTCTCTCTTTGAAAGCTATGAATTACCTGCTCAAAACCATTCCCGACAACTTATTCGCATGCTTGTTTCCACAGGTGTTTACGTGTGAACCCTAAAGGCTTGGATGAAGAAAGTAAAGATTATTTATCCCTCTATCTATTATTGGTGAGCTGTCCAAAGAGTGAAGTTCGAGCAAAGTTCAAATTTTCAATCCTGAACGCTAAAGGAGAAGAAACAAAAGCAATGGGTGTGTAAAAACTTCTCTCTGTTGGGATGAGCTGTTTGTCACTCTCTGTTTGTTCATGCGAGGCGTTCAGCTGTTTGGTTGAAGCACTGTATCTCTCTTTCAGAGAGCCAGCGGGCGTATCGATTTGTACAAGGCAAGGACTGGGGATTCAAAAAATTTATTAGGAGAGACTTTCTTTTGGATGAGGCCAATGGACTTCTTCCGGATGACAAACTCACTCTCTTCTGCGAGGTAAGTCTTCCTGTTCAACTAAAAGATAACAATTCCATTAGCTTAAGGTAGATGTGCCTTTCTTTGTCATCCTTGCTTTTAAGAAGTCAGAGGTGTCAGGAAAAATATTGACTGTTTTTCTAGTATTTTTGATTTTGTTTGTGTGTTAGTTGTGAGTCATCCCATTGCTTTTTTTTTTTCCTTTTTTTCTCATTGTTTTTGCATTTGTCTTTTACCAGAGATGTTGGTAGGATTAAGATCACTGGATTTCACTTCTGGTTTAATATTGTCACTCATTTGTGCACCTTAATTTGAAGCCCTTTGGAGATAATCAGCAAGACAAGGTCTGTAGTGGGAACTGACCATTACTTGCAACTGAGTAAAGATGACAACTTCTCCTTAGCTTCCCAAGGGTGTGCACAAGGTCTATTATTATTACTTTAGAAAGAAAATGGGCTTTGTATAGATAATTTTTGCTTATTTGTAGTGGTGTTATTTTTCTACAGCTGCTTAAAAAAATCATGGCACTCAGTAGTAGCTAGGTCAGACAAAGGTGCAGAAAGTTATTTCTAAAGCTTGGTATTTAAGTCTCAAAACCTTAATGAGCAAATTTAAACTCTCCGATGTCTCCAGAGCTTCTGGGTTCTATTTCTATTGTATTTTTAACTGAAAAATACCTCTTGTAGCTGTAATTTTTTGCTAGAGGACAGGTAGAAAAGTCATCCTCTCTTTGGTTCTCCTGCAATGTTTGTCTGTTTTTGTGGGAATGGATTCTTTTCTCTTGCCTTTCTTATCTTCCAGGAATGACTGTTTCAGTCAAAGCTGCCCAATAGCTCTACTTTTTTTCTGCTCTTTTTTGTCTGGTGCTCATAAACACTTAGATATTTAAATGTATAGGCAAACATCTCTCAATGTGTTCAGTCAGTTGCTTAAATCATTACTGTCCTGGAGGGAGCCCTTCCTTGAACATTTTTAACAATATTTGGGACAGGATAAGATTGTCTTAGGTGACATTTCCCAGGTTTAGCAATTAATTCCGCATGATAGGTGAGATTGAAACTACCATTGTGGGATGGCACCTAAAAAATAATATTTGAGAGACGTTTATCTTTGTTGCCCTCACAAATTCCTGAGACCCAGCATTAGTCAATGTGAAATGAAGTCAATCCAGTCTTTACCAAATTATTCTCTTCAGACACTTCAGCTTAGCATTTCCCCCTTTTTTTTTTTTTTTTTTTTCCTGGATTTCTGGAAGAGAAAATTTGCTGCTGGCTCCGCATGGCCTCGTTATCTACTGCTTTCTCTTTCAGTTTGTTGTACAGATAAGCGTAATAGAAGTTTTAAGTTCATATAGTACTCAGTACTTCATATAGTGCCCTGTTACGTTGGGGTACGCTCGAGTTTTCTGTGGAGCAGAAGGTTGTTGCAAGACCTTTGGTTACAGCTGCTCGTTGTATTATTAGGCTGAAAAAAAAGCGCTTTGCTCCCTGTTCATGTCTTGCTCTGAGCTCAGATGATGTCTCAATGAAGATGCTGTTAAGGCAGAGAATGATGATCCTTGTCAAGCATCATCAAGTCTGACCTCGTTTACTTGTCAGTTCGGGAATTTTTAGGCCTCTATTTTGCAGGTGGAGTTTATTGTACACATCCCAACTGCATTGCTTTCTGCTGTTTAAATCATATTCCGACGTAGTAGGTAAATCGTTATTATCTCTGAAAAGAGCAGTATTCCCAAAGTTAATGCAACAGCTCTTTATTGAGCCAAGTAGCATTGTTACCTGTGCAAAGATGTTGCAAATATCTTAAGCAAAACCATGCCTAAATCCATAGACCTCAAATCCAGCAGCTAATCCCACACTTGCTTCCCTGTAAGTCAGCTTGTTCCTTCACTCCGTTATGGCAGGATGGTCTTAGCCGCTCTGGTCTTTCCTGAGTGAGTCTGCTCCAGAGGGCCTGTGGTTTACTGCATGTTTTAAATTAAGAGAAATAAGAGTTTTGTGTTAAATAGACTCTTGTGGTTCCCATGTTGGTTATTCAGCAGCCAGTGGCAGAAATTTTGGGTCTCTTTGTAACCTTGTCTGGTTTAGAGCTGATGATCAGCAAGCTGTGTGCCTTCTCCTGATCTTTCCTCATTATTTTGCATGGAGATGCTTTTTAGTCCCGTGTCACTGTTTGATTCTAATGCAGTTAGAACCCACACGGAATTTTTGAAGAAATTGAAATTCTGATATCCAACTGGAAGGCATTTGGGTTGCTCTGAATGTCCTGTGCTGGTCAGACACCTTTTTTGTGCATGTGTTTGCGCATTTAGTGCTGGCTTATCAAAGTTTCCTATATAGTTCACGTTCATTTGTGCTGCTGTCTGTGTTGCGTTATTGATTGGGGAGAGTTTCAGAGTGTTGATAAAAGGAAAAAAATAGGTCAAGGATGATGTCTGTAAAAGCAGAAGGAATAAAGTTCCAATTCCTTAGGAAACTAACGAAGTTGTGGTTTAATGACATGGAAGTGCCATTAATTTGGGGCTGAGCAGAAAACCTGTTAGTGTTGTGAAGCGTGAGGTGAGCACAGGAGCGCTGCTGACCGCGTGGTTTGGGAATAGGAAGGGGTAGAGCTATGGGCAGAGGGAAGAGCACGCTCCTTGTGGACGTGGAGGAAGTGGGGGCGTTGGGCTGGACTGGGCAGTCTGGAATCACGGAATTCCCTAGAGATCATCCAGTCCAACCCTCTGCTCCAGCAGGGACACCTAGAGCACAGGGCACAGGGTGCCATCCAGGTGAGTCTTGAAGATCTCCAGAGAAGGAGCCTCCACAGCCTCTCTGGGCAGTTCCAGTGCTCTGTCACCCTCGCACCCTTTTGTGTCCTTAAAACCTTTTTCTGTGGTTCAGTCCCAGAAAAGCAGGAGAGGGCCCTAATTGTTCCTTCCCAAGTTAGAGGCCTCAGTCCTTGTTCTTGAAAAGCACTTATCTGACCTCTTGCAGACCCTCGATGGATATTCCACAGCCTCTCCAATGACTTCAATACCTTGTTATCTTTAGCATTATTAACTTTTCTCCTTAACATGTAGCCTAAATTTTCTTGCAATCTAACCCTTCCTTATCCACCTTGAATAAGGAGAAGAGCAGAGAATCAGTAAGGTCAAGGCAGGCTAGAAAGGATGCCAAAAAATGAGAAATTATTTGTACTAGGTTCTGTTTGGAGTGTCAGATTTTTCTTTCCATCTGCCCTGGAGACAAAAGCTTACAGCGAGGTTAGTTGTGCGGCGCGGGGAGGCCGTTCACTCACTCCCGTTTCCCCCCAGGTGAGCGTGGTGCAGGACTCGGTCAACATCTCCGGCCAGAACACGATGAACATGGTGAAGGTGCCGGAGTGCCGCTTGGCCGACGAGCTGGGAGGACTCTGGGAGAACTCGCGCTTCACGGACTGCTGCCTGTGCGTGGCAGGCCAGGAGTTCCAGGCTCACAAAGCCATCCTAGCAGGTCGGTGTTGACTCGGAGGGGCCTTGGCGGGATAGGAGACGTCTTGATGACGAGTGGAGTGCTCTGATAAGGTCTTTTTTTTTTTTAGTTATATCCCATTTAAAGGAGCCTTCTGCAGCCCTTTTAACTACAGAGCTGCAGTAAGACACTGTTCTGTGAACATGACAACTAATTATCACAGTACAGTTACAGAGAAGGAAAAAATATCTGCTCTTTTTTAATTGCCTGCCTCCTAAGACAAGCCTGGTAGGAGGATGTTGTGGCCCTAGAGTACCGTCACGTCCTCTTAAAGCATTTATGAGGAGAACTTGAACAAAATTCTTTTTTCGTGAAGTCATCAAACATACCTGAGTGTGCTCTGCAGTCGTGTTTGAAAGGACACAAGAAATCCTGTCATACCTGGGTTTGAGGGTATGCTGCCCGCATTACGTTATGTCATGACCTGTGCTATTTCTACAGGAGAATTTTTCCTTCCATTAAGTAGCAGGACAAATATCCAGGTGTTGGCAGCCTAAGCTTAGCTCCTTCTGGAGGAAAAAAAAAAAAAGAACACTTCTAACTATGTTTTATTTTTTCCACTGCCGTAGCTCGTTCCCCAGTTTTCAGCGCCATGTTTGAACACGAGATGGAGGAGAGTAAAAAGGTAAGTGCTTAAAGGAAGGAGAACTTTTCCAGCTAGCTCTCTGGTCAGCTCTTAACAGCTCTAGCCAGTTAACTTTCTTAGATAGTGTTTGTGACTATCGTCACAATTTAACTGTTATTTTTTTTCACATTAGATGCAGGTCTCTGCCTCCACTTCCCTGGAGGGAGGATGAAAGGGAACAAGGAGGCAACTGTTACCTTTGTTACTCTTGGGGAAGAGACAGGGGTGGGATAGGGGAAGGGAGAAGTTCTGAAATTTTAGAACATTTCTCATTCCATCTGCACCTTTTTGTTTCATTTTCTTTTTTTTTCACGGTAGTACATGTTCTAAAGATTGTTTTTCTGTAGCATTTTTTTCAAATACCAGGAGAATTAGAGTAGAAAGAATCCTTTAGCACCTTGTCAGGATCTTAATAAGCTTTGTTTTTCTGATACAGAATCGGGTTGAAATCAATGATGTGGAGCCTGAAGTTTTTAAGGAAATGATGTGCTTTATTTACACGGGGAAGGCACCAAATCTTGACAAAATGGCTGATGACTTGCTGGCAGCTGCTGACAAGGTACAGTTGGGATTTATGGCTGTTCAGGGAACCAGCAATGACATGTGCCTTGCTTTACACAGAGCTCCTTGGAGATTTCCTGCAGGAAGGTTTCCACGGAATCATTGTGGTTGGGCAGTTTCCTTGAATTGCTCCATTAACTGGCTGCGGTGTATAGATAAACTTGGATGTAGTATAGATATGTAAATGAAGCTTCTGAAATAATTTGAAATGCAAATATTTGTCCTAAACCTACACAGAATAAGGATAATAGAGTACATTTGTTCTCTTACTTAACATACAACAATCAAGGTTTTCTGTCTCAACTGCTCATTTTTAAGCGTTTTCTTAAAATTTCAGAAGTCATCTCTATTCGGCATGACCTAGCATGAGAACTGGGGATGAGAAGAAAAATGCAGGATTGACCTGGCAATATTTTTTTAGCTTGACTGTTAGCAAATCTCCCAAGCAGTGTTCTGTCTCGGCAGCCAGGGCTGCTTTTCCTCCTGGTCTGGTTGGTATCAGCAGCTTCAAGGGATGCTCTAAAGTGCCGGATACGGAGTGGGAAGGTCCTGCTGTTTGTTTTTGTCTTTTTGCAGTGGCAGCCCCTGCTGTTTGAGGAGAAAAGGGGTGCACTGGAGGAAGCCCTGCTGCCTAACCCTGCTGTGGTTTTTGCAGGGAGTTGTCGGGGATGTTGTGATGGGAAGGCTGCTGGTAGTCCCCGCAGCGCCGTGGCCTAGCTAGCCAGTCAGGCTCTGTCTACTTCCCTTTGCAGCACCAAGGACCGAAGAGATTGCGCTGCTGGCCAGTGAGCCCTGTTAACCAGTGCAAATTCGTAATATATAACCGAAAGTTTATTTCCTTCTCCTTTTTTTTTTCTTTTTCTTTTTTTTTTTTCTTTTGCAAGTGAACCTAGTGCTGGTGAAAGGTGCCAGTTTGACAGCACTGGAGACTAAAGTCGTCTATTTATCCATCAAACAGGTTCAGCACGGGTAGCAGCAGTGCAAGATTCTCCACACTGCCCTGCCACTGTGCCTCAACTCTGACCTGGAGGGAGCACCTCTAGGGGTGAGAGCGTAGTTCAGTCTCCATGCTTCTTCAGTCCTTGGATTCTCTCGTGGGTGCCAGCTAGGGTGGTGGATTTTAAGATGTGGATGCATGTAACCTTGTTCCACGCAAACCACCACATGGCCATCAAACTCCCTGTCACTGCAGACCTGGGCTTGATCAAAAACGGTGATTCAGAGGTGAAATGCTCCATATGCCATTAGCTGGTCCCTGTGACTAGAACAAAAATGGGAACTAATGCAAGCAGATTCTTGGGCGTATTATGATCATTGCCACATTTTATTCAATATTTAAAGAGTATTGATTGAGAGCTCACATACCATCTTTAACCGAGACAAGTGTAAGTAGTACATTAAGGACAGAGTCGGCTTTAACTTTGAATTTCTTGGCTTTTAATGTAGTTTTTTTTCCTTTTAAACTCGTTGTATGTCTTTTAAAAGCAAAAATAAAAACTCTTTCACGAAAGCACATAAAATATCTAATATTTACTCAAGAGACTGAAACAGCTTCATCTGAGCTCCTCCTGTCTCTTGGGGAAAATATGTAATTAGACCAAAACCAAAACAAAACACGTCCTCTAAACCCAGGAGATACTATTTCAGCCTCTTGGGTAAGGATGCTACTAGGTAGGGGGTTTTTTAAAGTGTAATTAAGAAAGGGGGGAAGGGGAAATCTTGGTACCTGAGAGACCAGAATGGCTACTTTTGCTCAACTGTGTAATTAGAAGCTGAGCTATTCGTAGTGAAAATCCAAATAAAAATTGTACATGCATGGAAGAGAATATTCAATTTACAAAGGGAATAATTTTAAGCCTCGTTTGCTGCATTTTAAGCTACTGACAGACAATAATATAAACTAATGACTTGCCCCTCATTTGGAACTGTTTTAGCTGTTGATACAGACTAAGCAACTAAATCTGATTTGCCTTCTCAGATGTTCTGCTAGGAGAAAACTATCCTGGTTATGAGTGCCGTGCCTCACTTGAAGCAATTATTATTGTTGAGTCTTAAATAAAATAATGTCATAACGATCTAAAATAATTCATTTAAATCTAATCATTATGGAATGAAGTCTCCATCAGAATGTAAAATCGATTGATAACATCAGTGTGTTTCCTATGGCAAACCATGAAGAGGAGCTGACTGCCAGCTCCCCGTGCAGGTTGGCAGAGCAATCCGGGCAAACCGGGTGTTGATTCAGAGTGCAGCCTCTCACACTGAAGAACTGGCGTTTGTGGAACCTCTTCAGCTTTAAAAACCTTATAAACAGGACGAAGGACACTCTCAGATGCAGTTAGATAAAACTTAACAATCCTAAGCTTCCTTTTTTAGAAATGTTACTCAATTTCAAGTGTTTAATTTTTAGGACAGTTTATGTAGTGCTAATGCTATTACTCATATAAGACCTTCATTAGAAGTGACTACTCTCCTTATCCCTTTGATAGGTAATGATGGATGCAGAATATTCAGAATTTCAGTTTGTTTCATCCAAAGAGCTGCAAACCTTATTATCAGATCCCGTATACCAAGATTTTCAGAAGTGGCTCAGTCTGGTGGTGCCCCCGCTCAGATATTCCAGCAGACTGCAATTTGGAGTTTGGGTTTCACTCCTTGGTAACTGATGCCTCCCAGTTTTCTGAACAAAGCTGCTTTTCAAGCCCACCAAAGATCGCTGTGTTGCTTTTGAAAATCTTGGCCATGTCTGATGGTTTCAAAAAGACCAAAAGTGCTGCACTGACCAAAAGTGCTGCACAGGTTACATGAAAATTTATTATAAAACATTCTTTTTCTAGGAGTATCTTTTGGCTTCCTCAAACCATTGACATGTGTAATCCTGTAGCCTAAAAATGTTGAGGTAAATGTGCAACTGAATGGCTAAAAACCCTTAAACTGAGAAAATGAAGTCAGAATAGGGCTGTTGCCAGGGTTGTACAAACATGCTGTGTATTTCATTTCCACCCAGTATTTCATTTCCACCCAAATAATCACCATAAATCAGGGGTATTTGCTTAACATCTTAATGTTAAACTGGTAACATAGATTTGAGCAAGGCTGATCTTAACATACAGGCCATTAACAGCAAAGAAATTGGGTGAAAGCTGCCTAAACATCACTGGAGCACCTATGGAGCATTCACTATTACATAACTCTTCCCACTGAACCTGGGCAATGCCGTCGTGCACTGTTAGAGTAAGAACAGACATTCAGCTTCAGCGTTCTGTGCCTTGAATTAATAGAGATAATAGATGTAAAAGGTGACCTGAAATTCTCATTTCAAAGCATGACCACAGCACCAAGTAAACCTGTAACACCAGAAGCCTGGGATGAGAGTTCTGGTGGGTATTTTCCTATCCATTGTTTTCCTCAGGGTGGGCACATAATGATTCTCCTCTTTTGCTGGTCACTACTTCTTTGAGCACAGTTCAGATATCTCTTCGCTTTGCAAAATGCATTTCAGCATAATAGAGTAGTCTTTGTTACTGAAGAGTGAAGCAGCACAAGTAGAGCTTCAGTTTGGGCCTGAGGAGGTAATTTTTCTTTGTTATAACCGTATTTTGGCTTGTATTTTGCAGTATGCTCTGGAACGTCTGAAGGTGATGTGCGAGGATGCGCTGTGCAGTAACCTGTCCGTGGAAAATGCAGCTGAGATTCTCATTCTGGCTGACCTACATAGTGCTGATCAACTAAAAACTCAAGCAGTGGACTTCATTAACTAGTGAGTTTACTCTTATTTCAGGATGCAACAAATCTGGAGGATACATATATATTTAAAGCAAGCAAAAGGGTTTACAACTTGTGAACTGCTACACGCAGGGGACACTCTTCTCTATCTTTTAGTTCTCCCCTTGTGATCCTTTATTTATTTGTGCTTCTGGAAGTGTCATTGTCCTAAGGACTGATTAGCCGTGTCCTGCTGACACTGTTCAGTGCAGCAGGATTGTCTTTTAGGCCATCTTGAGGGTAATCCTGTGATCCTGAGAACTCTTAACAGGTACTTGGTTAGTGAGGGACTGTTTGTACTACTGAATATAACAGTGCTTTTAGTAAATGAAAAATAACTATCCACTGCTTTGATGCCCAGAAGTACTTTTAGCCCTACTGATCAGTTAATGCAGCTTGTCTCTGAACTTTCTATATTGATTTAAAACACTTAAGTGCTTAAGGGGTCAGAACAGATAAGCATTGTGTTCCTTGTTCTCCTCCGCCCAGGATCACGTGTGCTTTGAGCTGCTAATCCACAGGTTGAAGAGCTGCACAGAATAAAATTGAGAGCAGAGAAAAAGCTCGAGTTTGGCAAAACGCATCTAACATACACCTAGAGTAAAAACTAAAAAGAGTTTCCTTAGGGCTATGAAAAGAATATGTTATTTAGACTTTTTTTTTATCCTTGATCAGTAACTTGGGATTTGTTCTCTCTTGTTTCTAGTCATGCCTCTGACGTCATGGAGACATCGGGCTGGAAGTCGATGGTAGTGTCACATCCCCATTTGGTGGCCGAGGCGTATCGCTCTCTGGCCTCTGCACAGTGTCCCTTTCTGGGGCCCCCGCGTAAGCGACTGAAGCAATCCTAAGGTCCAGTTTTTCCACCACCCCATGTTTTTCTGGAAGCAGCGCCAGCTGCTGCTGCTCTAACCTTGACCATCAGGGTAGACAGCGAAATTATGGAGCTTTTACTCTGTTGTTGGGGGGAAAAGACTGCTTCGTGACACCCAGACTTTTTAAAACAGCACCAAGTAACTTGGGGAGAGGGGGGAGGGTGGGCCTGGGGCTCTGGGGCTGTTCAACCTAACGATTCCCTGTCGCTGCATCGTCTGTGTGTTCCCTTCGACTTGGCTGAGTCAATTAAGTACCGGGTTCGGTTTAGGCGCCGGCCCGGGTCGGAATAACCCAGCAGTGGTACTGGGGGAAACGACGTCTCTGCGTCTGGCAGCACAGAACAAATCGTCAGATGCCTGGAGCAAGAGGACGTTTTAGCTTTGGAGAGAGCGTTGAGGGTGTAAAGAGAATTTCCAGGGAGGTTCTGGAAAGGAAGTACATGGTGGGAGCTCCAGTAGTATTTATATCAAAAAAAAAAAAAAAAAAGAGTTTAAGTCTTTCCAGCTTAAAAACTGGACGTTTGTGTAACTCCTTATTGACATCCAGCAACAAGAAGATCAGTTTCTCTGTTAGTAGCACTTGTATGTTAATTGCAAAAAAAAAAGAAAAAAAGAAAAAAAAAAGGAAGAAAAAAGCATCTTTTATAAAATGACAGGTTGAAGTGAAAGGGGACAGTGAAGGGCTGTGTGCTCTGGAGGGTGTGAATAGACTGAAGGCAGCCCTTGGCAAGTCTGCGTTGGTTTTGAAAGAACCAGAAATTCCTTGATCTGGAGCGTGCTGTCTGACAAGAGCAACGGTTACTGTTTTTAGATATTGTGGGAAATGTTTTTGGCATTTTTCCCTGCTTTATTTCCCTCCTCCCCCTTTTTTTAAAAAAAGAAATTTTATTGTTCATGAATGCTGCGTCAAAAGTCCCTGTCCTGAGTTGCTAAATGATTCTTAACAACTGTTTGTATCTGACTTGCCGACTGTATAGGAGCCAGTCCTGTTCCTTTCTATTAGTCACTCTTCTTTCAGGGAAGAAGTTTCAAAATAGCTGGTAACTTTTTTTTTTTCTTTTTGAAAATATAAATAATTACTATTTTGTACTGTGTGGTATCCGTTGTCTTCTTTGTTTCATTTTTTAAAGACTTTGCACAGCTTAAAACCTGTTACCAAAAGATACAGTTTCTCTCTGCTGCCCACCATGGATAGTAACATGCTCTTATTCAAAGGGAATTTATTAAGGATTGCTGCACACAATTGCAATGCAAAACTATGTTTTATATTTCTCATAGCAGGTCTTACCAAAATAATAGAGAACACTGGTTTTAATAGTAGCTGCGTGAAGCTACCTCATGGTCCTACATTTTACCTGTAATTACATTTAAGTGTGGGAAGGGACAATAGTCTAATAAGCCATCTGTTTTATAACATTAAGGTGCAGTGTAGGGTGTCTGGCTCGAAGAGACGCCATCCATTTATGTCATCTTTAGCCCCAACTATCCCGGGAGGTTAGATTGAAATACGCTGTGCCAGGGTGGTGGCAAATTGATTTGACCTTAAGATGGTCAGGTAGGGCACGTAATGGATTACAGAGAATAATTCTGTTTTGTCTGGAAAATAGATGAGGGGGCTGTTGTCTCTAATTTTTCATTCTGTTATCATACTTTTTTCCCCCACAGCCTTGTGTGAAGGAGAGCTCCATTCATCCACTGCTGTGTTTAATCTCCCTGCAGTCTATTTTTGTCAAACAGTGACTCACGAAAGGGTCCCGGCCCCTTTTTGTGTCCCCCCGCAGAGGCTCTCATGATGAACATGCACAGCCTGCTGTATCCAAAGCCTTCCCTCAGCTGCTTCTCCAACTCCCAGAAAACCTCCATTGCTTGAACTTGGCTAATTCCTTTTATATTGGATTTAGCATGCATTTCCTTTTAGGTAAGCAAAGCATTTAGTCGTTATTTTGATGCTCCCCGCTACTTGTCAGAACTCGAACCCGGCATTTCTAGCTTCTAATTACACAAAAAGTTCATTGCCGGGTAATTGCAGAAGTTGTGTGCGCGGCGCTAATTACGCTGCGGGCCCCGTGCTGTTTGCTGCCATCTCCAACCCTCCCCAGCGAGACCTTTTATCCTTGTCACCGGCTGTTCCAGGAGTGTCCCTGGGACATGGACAAGCCTCGGAGAAGGTAAATGGGTGTTGACATCACCATCCTCAGCCTTCGTTGGGGAGGTATTTATGGAAATGCAGTCCAGATGGAGCAGCCTCTTTCCCGGGAAGATGCAGAAATACCTGCAGGAAGATGATCTGTCCTGGAGCTTGTCAGTCCCAGCCCTTCCTATAGGACCCAGAATACGCCATCCTAGAAGGTCTGAAAGAAGACGCACGAAGGAGGCAGTTGTTCCGCTTTTCCCAGTTGCAGGTGAATTAATGATTTGTTTGTCAACTTCCCTTTTTTTTGTTTGTGTTTTTTTGCTGCTGTAAATGATACAGCTGAAGCCATCTGGTTCTAACAACATCAGAGCTGGAGCGCGGTGTTGATCAGCCTCCCCCTGCCACCCTCCCTCCCCACATGTGAGACGTAATTCAAGTTAACTCGCCGGCTGTGGCGCGTGTTGCTGCCGCCGGGATGTCCGTGCCAGGTGAACAGTTGGAGGCTTGAATCCCACAAGGAGATGGCATATTTATCAGGACAATATTTCAGGGAGACGGTTTTGCGGGATCTTCCGAACTGCAGCACAGTTGCCACAGGTCCGGGCTCCAATTCCAGCCTGGGCCCTGTCCTGGCGCGTTTGCTTCCTCCTCCTCTTCCTCCTCAGGAACGCCGCAGGGCTGCGTCCCATCGCTCCACGCGGTCTTTTATGTGCTTCCTCCTTATTATTTCTTGCTCCTCTCTCCTCCAGCTGCTTTTATGTTGACCCGCGAGGCTCGCAGCCTTCGTCTGGGTGCAGGGAGGAGAGGTGAGGACAAGAAATCCCTCACGGAATCCGCTGACCTCCTCCCACAGCCGCCGGATGCAAGCGTGCCCTGTCCCCGGGAGCAGGCGGCCTCTCCGCGGATCCAAGCCCCGAGTACGTTTTTCCCAGCCCAGAGATTTCTTTCTGGCTGCCCCTTGGGCTTTGTTATAACCGAGTGAGATTCTATTGAGGTATTTTTCTTATTGTGTGAGTTTTTCCAGATGAAAGGAAACAGCTTGTCTGCTTATGAGCAGAGCAAACAAGAGAGTGGGGAGAGCTGCTGCGCTTTGAAACTATTTCCTGCTTTGTTCTGGTGCTGAAACTGCTGTTCAGGACAAAATACCATGTCTCATTCCTTCCTCTTCCTTGAAGAAGCCAAAAATCATTTTTTTAAAAAAATCAGAAGACTTCTCAACTTCTATGCAACTTATCTTGCAAAAGGCTTTGTTAAAATAATTATCTTGTTCAGTCAGTTTGGGCCGTGCAGTTTATTTGTGATGCAGAATTACTTAACTCATTTATTTGTTATGGCTTTTTCTGTTATTGTTAATCTAATATGAAGATATTTAATTATGCACGGGGTATTTTTTTTCCTCCCTGACCTGCTGGCCGCTTGGCTGCAATTCTAGATGCCCTGCAGCAAATTTTTGCTTTGGCAGTTCCTTGCATGTGTTAATTTGTAAGGGTGAAGCTGACTTTAAAACTGGTGTTGAGGCTGCTGTTGTGTGGCACAAAAACAGGTGCCAGCTTTATTTGCACAACAAGTCAATGGACAAAGGAAACTGGGAGACGACAGGGAGAAAATGGCCATAAAAGCACCCAAAATGGGTAAACCAGGAGCTGTGCAGCTTGGGAGCTGGCCTTTATAGTCTGAGGTTCATTTGGCAAAGTGCAGCCTAGAAAAGCCACCGACTTTGGGATTAAGTTTGTGTTTTTTGGGTTTTTTTTTTTTTTTTGGATTTTGTGTCTTGCTCCTTCTTGATGCATTAGACCTTGTCTCGAGGACTGAATTATTAAAATCACTTGGAGAAATCTGTTAATTGATGGGGCAAATTGAGAAATGGTAGACAGAGGATTGCAATTATTCCATCAAGTTATGTAAAGTCACAGACAAGAAAGATAAAATGTAGACCTCCTGCTTGAATAATTAAAAAGCATCAGTGGCCAAAAAGAAGGAGAAATTAATATAGATGTGGATGATAAATTGCATGGAAGGTGGAACACCTTCTCCTCCCTTCCAAAAAAGAAAGTGTCTTGTATTAGAGCGGGGTATTCTCGCTAATCCCGCTGCAGGAACGTTCCTTGGAGCCGCTCTATCAGGAATATCGGTAACTGAGCAAAGATTGAAGAAGTTGTTGGCTGTTGCCACTGGGGAGCAGTGCTGAGGACAAGAACTGTTCAGGTATTTCGAACAAGCTGAAAATGAAGCTTCTTGAGCCTTGAAATAGGCCGAGGTTGTAAATCCAGGAGTGATGGGATGAAAATGAGCAGATGAAACCCATTTCCAGACTGTTACTCTGGTTCTTGCAGAAGTCTCTTGACAGGCATGGAGGTTCTCCCTGAGCGTTTTCAGTCCCTCAAAGGCCCTGGAGAAGGCACTTCATCAAAGTGAGGGATCTGCTCCTGACACGGAAGGAGCTGGCAGCGGCAGGGCTCAATATTTAATGCCGCGATGTCCTTGCGACGTCCCGGCACGAACGTCCTCGTGCTGGGGAGCTTCCCTGCAGGCCTGTCCTTGGGGGTGACATGAACCCAGCTAGGCTCCAGAACTGCTCAACCTTTTTTCCCATTCACACCTATTTTATCATCTCATGGCAGGACACGCAAGATTCTCTTATACCATTTTGCTTCCCATTAGAGAACTTCCCACAGTTGATTCTGGTTTCTCCTGAGCTGATGCACCCAAAGTCTGCTGCATTGCAGTTTGTCCTCCCCTTCTTTCCTTCACATTCGCTTTCTATTTTTTTCTGTTATTTTGGCTGGTTTTTTTTCCTCGTTACCCCTCCAGGCAGGTGATGTTGGCAAACTTATTGCTTATTATTGAATTGGTGCCAAACAACAAAACACTCAACAGGAATAGCAGAGCAGGACATCGAGGTTTTTAGTCTGTGGATCCAGTTCGCAGCTTGCAGCAATTCCAGCCTTTGCTGGAGCCTTCTCGGATGCTCCCACCCTCTTTCAGGGACAACCGGGAATTGCGTGGAGTAGCCGGGGAAGCACCTGGAAGTTTTCTGTTCCTGAACTCCATGTTCTTGAGTAGAATAGCGGGATTTGGGAGATGGTTTCGCTGTGAGCTTTGCAGGGAACGGGAAGGTAGAACGGGCTAGTGAGTTTTTCTCCTTGGAAATGGTTGCAATTTAAGGCGTGGGAATTGGTTTGCATCTTTTACTTGCCCTTTATGTGGCTCTGCTGAAAGCGGGGGACATCTTAAGCTACATTAACTTCATCACATGCAACCTCCGTAACTTAAAACATTCAGACATAAACACATAGGCGATGCTCTTAGGGGTTATAATATCTGATTCTAGACCCGATCTCATTAAAATGCCTTAAAGCATAAATAGTTGGACTTGGTATATAAATAAGGTGATGCTATTTTGTCCAGGGTGATGTTGCTGCCCAATTCAGATCCTCCCAAATTCAAAAATAATCCCAATAACCAAGATAAAACCAGCCGCTTTGCAGCCCTGATTTCTGATGTGGTGGCA